AAAACAAAACCTCAATTTCAGTAAGCCACTGTTTCAATCCTAACAAAATACACAACAATTCAATTTCAATCATTTACAAAAATCCACAACATAAATACATTTTGATAATTCACATTAATTCCAAACAAAATGCATAATATTTGATAACAAAATTCAACTATTGATACAAATATATCCATAACTCCAATAATTCACAATAATTCCAAACGAATTTACAGTAAATTCAAATTCAATAATCCACAATTCTAATAATTCCTGTCTAAATTTATTGAAATTCACACACAAAATTTAGTAATGCACAGTTTCAATCCCAACGAAATACGCAACAATTAAAATTCAACTTCAATCATTCATAAAAATCCACAACGTAAATACATTTTGATAACTCACATTAATTCCAAACAAAATCCATAATATTTGATAACAAAATTCAATAATTGAAATAAATAGAGTTTTAAATTTAAGATTGTTGGAATAGTGGAATTACTGAAATTAACATGGGACAAAGTGCCATATTAACGGTGATTTGATCATAAACTAAATTGTGATTGTCAAGTGGAGAAGGAGGTGTAGGCGGTGGGCGCAATGGTTTTTCTGTGGTGGTGTGGGCAAGGTGCAGTGGTTAGGGAGAAACGTAGAGACGGTTGTGGTTTGGGGTTGAGATGGGTTAAGGTGAGGATAAAAGGCTGGAGTGGGGTTGTTGGTTAGTGGTAAATGTTGGTTATAGATGGAGCTATGAAATTGACAAAAATGGTGGACGTTGATGGTTCTAATGCATTGGTTAGTAGTGGTGGCGAGTGGAGTAAGAATAGTAAAAATTGACCGAGCAACACTGTTGGTGGCACTAGATGGTCATGTCGCTGGCGGTGGTGGATGACATTATGGTGTTGCTGGCATTGGTTGATGGCGTAGATGGAAAAATCATAGAGAAATGGAGAGGAGTAGAGATATGAGCATGGGTGAGGATAGAGATGCGAAAGAGAAAGGGAGATAGATGAGGCGAATAATACATTATCGTGAGTGAAGAGAATGAGAAATATAAGCGATAAAATGAAAATTGGTAAAAGATCTTTGACTATGAGATCATTAATAAATGATCTAAATAGTTTTTGTAAGTCACTAATATACTTTTATCAGAGACATGTTTGTGAAGTATATCTTATTCTTGTATTACACATATACACTAGACATTAGGCTTCACCAAAAAACCCAAAGCCCAATGGGCCGCCCACAGCTCGGAAGCCCAGCGGGCTAGTGGGCTGCTCTGCCTGTACAAGTGGCAGGGCTTGGGTAGCCCGCTAGCTCGGTGGGTAGGGCCTGGGCCATATTTTTTAGGGCCGGTCCATTAAGAAGCCCGTTAGCTCGCTCATTAGCCCGCCCGTTGACCCAATAGAATTTACCCATTGGAAAAAGATTAGATTATATTTCATACTTGTATTGTATATTTGATATTTGATTTGTAACTTTTATAAAGTTGAGAGTCTTGAGACTTGCAAATGATTGATAATTGTGTAGGTGCCATTCTAGTTGAGATGTACTCAATTTTTAGTGATGCAAAATAGTTTCATCCATCAATCAATTTGTAATGTAACATTGTAACTCCATATAAATATTTGTTAAATTCAATCAATATGAATAATTTTTTTGTTAATTTATTTTTTCATACCAACTTCATGTAATTGATTTTTTTTGTAATTTTTGTATGAAAAAAAAATTTCAATGTCTTTTTGTAAATTTGTTTACATAAAAATTAGTTTTTTAATAAAAAGTCCGTTTCATGCCCAATGTGGCCCGGCCCATATTTAGCCCATTTTTTGGCCCAATAGGCCAACCAACGGCGCGGGCCATGGGCCTTAAAAGTTCCTAACGGGCGGGGCCTGACCCGACCCGTTGACTAGTCAAAGCGGGCTGAAATATCTTGGCCTGGCCTGTTGTCGAGGCCTACTAGACATGCGCTCGATTCTGCAAGTTGATCACTTGTCTTCATGAATAGAGTACATATTAAGCGAGAATCCAATTTTTTCTGGATGAAATGTTTGTCAAGCTCAACAGGCTTGGTTATGTCATGCTGGACTGGATTGTGAGCAATATTAATTACTGCCTTATTGTCACAATACAATCTCATCAGTTCGTTAGAATAAAAACTAAGTTTCTTCGATATGGATTTCAACCCTAACAATTCATAAATTCCATGAACTATAAATCTAAATTTTGCCTCTGTACTAGATCTGGCTACAACCGACTATTTTTTGCTGAGCCATTATACCAAATTTCCTCCTACAAAGGTATACTATCCAAAGATGTTGATATTCTGTTTGTAACTGGTCTAGCCTAATCAGCATCTGTATAGGTTTCCACCCGTAAATGATTATGCTTAGAATAAAACAATCTTTTACCGTGTGCTAGTTTAAGGTACCTCAAAATTCAATTGACTGCATTCATATGACACTCACGAGGTAAATGTATAAACCGGTTACCACACTAACTGTGTAGGCTATATTTGGATGTGTATAACACCGATAAATGAGATTGCCCACAGTCTTTGATATTGACCTTTATGTAAATGAGTATCATCAGCATTTTCTCCCAACTCATGATTCTTCTCAGTCGGAGTATAAATTGGTTTGCACCTTAGCATACCAATCTTCTTAAGTAGATTAAACACATACATTTACTATGAAATGAATATGCCCCATCTAGATCTTACAACCTCAATGCCTAAGTAATACTTTAAACTTTCCAAATCTTTTATCTGAAATTTTTGAGCCACTTGTCTTTAATTTCACCATCTGCTCTACATCATTGCTGGTAAGTGCAATATCATTAACATACATGATTAGGGAAGTCACCTTTTTGTGGAAGAATGTTTAACAAACAAAGTATGATCTCAATGACATTGATGATAATCATATCTCAACATAGCTTGGGTGAATCTCTCAAACCATGCTTGGAGACTGCATCAACACATAAATGATTTTTTTTGTCTCCATAACTTGCTATCATCTATGGGGAGTTCAAATCCAAGTGGAACATCCATTTATACTTCCTTTTCCAGGTCTCCATGTAGAAGCGCATTTTGCATATCAAGTTGTTGAAGAAGCCAACCTTGATTTGCTACCACGGAAAGTAGGACACGAATGAAATTCATCTTTTCCACTGGGACAAATATTTCCTAATAATCAATTCCATAAGTCTGTGTAAAGTCCTTGGAAACCAACATAGCCTTGTATCTTTCAACCGAGCCATGAACCCTATGTTTCACTATAACACTCATTTATACCTAACTAACTTCTTCTCCTCAGGTAACTCAACTAGTTCCCACGTATTATTTTTTGAAATGCATTCATCTCTTCACACATTGATTCCTTCCACTTGGAATCATTCAGTGCATTTTGTAACTCTAATGGTTCTGTTCTAATCTTGTGCTTGTAAACCGGTGTATATCCTTTTTTTTTCTTTCAAATTTTGTCTATTTAGAGGCCTTGAGAAACTTCAAACTTGGATCAAGTTTTTGCACAGCCAACTTGGATTTATTACATGGTTAATTGATATTGTTATCTTTCCCATTTTCCAATGCCTTCAAATGAAACTTTGGTAGTGGAGTTTGAGAGATGGATCAATTGGACAAACTTATAATGCTTAGTAGATCATAAGAGGAATTATGATTCCATGCTATATATGATTGCGATTCGTATTAATAATGATGATTAACACATTTATCAATGTCCTTTGCTTATTTTGGAGAACTTTGTGTATTTAAATTTTGTATGTGTTGTGTAAGAATGTGGCGCATGCAATCTAGTGTGTATATATATCTGCTCTTGTCGAATAAATGAGTGGACATGCCACTCATTTTTTTTGTCTTTCTTATTGCTCTTTGTTATCTTTAAGGCTTTTTTTCATTTTCTTTGTACATAATTAATCTAATGTGCCTTACTTTTAGTTGGTTGCGAAAAGGATGCTGGCTTATGAAGGAATAAAGAGGGCTGAACTGGGTAGGGATGAGTTTATAAAGCGAGTTTGGTAGTGCAAAGATAAATATATCTTCTTGTTCCACTTCAGCATGACATAATCAAGCATGTTGAGGTGATAACATTCCATCAAGGAAAGATTGCGTTCTCGCTTAATTTGTACTCCATTTATGAAGACAAAGGATCAGCTTGCAGATCGAGCACATGTTTAGCACGGAGAGTACTTCAGGCTATGTTTTCCTTCTAAATGGAGCAGCAATATGTTGGAGTTCAAGGAAACAGGGAATTGTCACACTATCATCTACAGAAGCTGAATATGTAGCTGCCACTGCAAGTGCATGTCATAGTGTTTGGCTTAAGGGAATTCTGAAGGAGCTAGATGTTCTAAGCAGCGAGTGCATCGATATCATGTGTGACAGTAGTTCAGCAATCAAATTGTCTAAGAATCCAGTTATGCATCGTAGGACAAAACATATTGATGTCAGGTACCATTACTTGCGAAATTTGTCAACAAATGGAACTGTACGGTTAGTGTTTTGCGGAACTGAAGATCAAGTGGCAGACATAATGACTAAACCAATTAAGCTAGATCAATTTGTGAAATTCAGAGGCATGCTTGGAGTTCGAAGACTTGAGTAAACTGATGCTGTTTCAGCATACTTCAGTTTACGGGGAGGAATTTGTTGGAGTTTCTGACTTGGTCTATAACGTTTTAACAAATTAACAGGCTTCTGATTTGGTCTTCAACGTTATAGCAAATAAATAGGTAGTAGTTTCCTAGTGGTTTTAAAGTACCTAATTTGTAGGAGTTTAATTCTGTTTTGTTTGTTATTCTTTTTTTTTTGTAAGGCTCTATAAAAGCCAGAGTTATTATTCAATAAAATTCAATTTAGTTCCTTCAATTAGACCCAGTTGCCAATGATTACAAAATCGTAAGAATCATACGTCTGGACCCGAAACCACCCAAAGAGAGAATAAGAGTGAAAGTTGAAGTTGACTCGGCAAAGAAGGATTCCTGGAAAATGGAAAATGATTCAGGTTGAAACTCTATTTTGAGTAATGCTACATGAACTTAAAAAGTAGACTTGATAATCTCAACAATTGAATAGGCAGTGAGGCCTAATAAATGCTAAGATAAGTCCACGTAGCATTACTCTTCCATTTTATATCATCCACATTAGGTGCAATGCGATTTTGAAGGGAATACCCTATTGGACTGGCTTTTTATAGATGAGGATGTAGTATGTGGATTGCGTGAGGTACTGGTATATTTTGACCCACAGAATGAGGTCTTTCGGCTATGGCCAGTGCCGGAATATCCAGGAGTGATCATTTCTGGAGTCAGAGAGTTAAGGAATGGACTTGCTTTACTTGTGTATTCTTGGGGAGAAGAATCGTGCAAATATGTTGATGTTTGGATGGAGGATGATTCCAAGGAGGGTCTGATTAAGAGGATTGGACCAATTCCAGTCAAGGTGGTGAGGCTAATTGAATGTACGAAGAATGGAGAGATTTTAGCAGAGAGCACTGAAGGAAAGTTGTTCCTGTATGATCCCAAAACTAATAGAGTTAGGGACATTCTCATTGATGATGCTCAGGCACTTTCATATAAGCTTTTAGCTACACACAGAGTTTGGTTTCAATTGAGGGGATGAAACAAGTAGGAATGGAGCTTTAAAAGCAAATAGGTTGAAAGGATGCTACACAGGACAGAAGGAATAGGTAATCTTGAGGTACATTTCTGATTAGATACTGGACTTGGTTTGTTTTTTAACTACGGGGAATTATTCTTTTCTTAGGTGTGTTGATTTGTGCTTAGCTTGTTATATGTAGATATTTTAAGATTGTTCTTTTTTGTAATCCTTTTCAGATTCAAGGATCTGTTTCTTTCTATGACATGTTTATATTGGTAATAACTATCATAGTTAGTGTAGTTTTCTATGGATTTCTGCTAATATGATGGAATTGTGATTTCAATCTCACCCATCAAGAGCTCATTTTTAGTGTAAATTACCTGGTGATGTTGTATGCTGCTGCAATTGAGCTCAGCAGGAATAGGTAGAACATGAAAAGGTTAACGATGGGGGAAGAAAATAAGGCTACTCCATCAAGGATGCTGGATGTGATGGTGTCAAAATTTTATTCATGTTGTTATGTAGTTCTGGTTGTGAAGTGTTCCAAAAGCTCTATTCATGCAGACTTATATGCTTCTATCCTCCTGATGTGGGTTGAGCTCTGGTTGTTTGCTCAGTAGATGTTTGGGTGTGGGTGTCCTCATCTCAAGATTGTTCTAAAATTGGGATGCTGAAATAATGTTGAATCGGAACTCCCAAAAGGGATTTATATTGTCTAGCTATGAACATGACTAAGATATTCTACACCAAGTTTTGAGTGCGGTATCCAAGTCCGAGATCGGCAATCTCAGTGTCTAAGGCATATGGAAAGTGTTAACTTCTTTCTGTGGGGCTCTTCCCACCCCCAAAATATCCACCCTCACTCTATCTAATGTAAAACTAATAAGCCCAAACCATCTTTACACACCGCATTAACGGGAAACCAATCCCACCTCTATCTACGAACATCTCATTAAAATGCACCTTAGAGAGTGATGTAGACTAGGAAGGAAAAGAATTAGGGATGAGAAGAGAAGAAGCAGAGATGAAAAAAGAGAAAGAATTTGATAAAGAAGTAATGTCAATATTCAATAATAATCAAAGTATGCCAAAAAACATATATTGTATCCCCTATATATATAAGGGGATCACAAACCCTAAAATAAATAAATAGTCAAAATGATAACTAAGTTCCTGAAAAGTAAAATGACAAATAACTCATACTCTTTACGTCTGCACCTATTATAACGAAATATAATCCGATTCTTATCATTTTTTCTCGGCTGAAAAGAACTCGCCTCTGGAGAGATACGATCGTGATAATGCTCTAGAAGATCAGGGTCAAGCTGACAAAACTCCTCCTCAGTAATCCATGATGTATCAGTCTCTGGACGATCTCTCCATTGAACAAGATAAAGATAATACCCTCCATCCGAGGAGCTAACAATCTGATCGTCAAGTACGTCTGTAATTTGGTCATGCAACTGTGGTGGAAACGGTAGAAGAACAGGAATTGTAGGTGATGCGGATGATGAAGCAACTCCATTTGTAGGAACACCTACTGGCAACGTGGGAGGCTCAAAAGTACCATATTTATCTTGCAATATTTGTTTCATCTCAGCACATAAAGTAATGAGTTGTTCCTCTAAGTGCTCTTAGTCTCGTTAGACTCTCTACCAATATCTTTTAGCCGAACCAACGAGTTTCATTTTGGCAAAACCAACCCGATGGTCTTCAGACATATCATACAAATCAAAATAGTCACCCATTTCATCCAATCAATCTAAGAAAAGAACAGGATCTAATCTACCATCAAAACTAGAAGCATCCACTTTGACTCTTTGTGTGATATCCCTAGATTCTTCATGGATATGTCTATGTCGAGGATTATAGTAACGCGGAGGGGGAGGTCTATGGTATCTGACACGTGGTCGTAAGGGTTCACGATAACCATCCATATCACCATTTGCTGAATAGTTAGACATGACTATCTCAGTGGGATCCTCTTGAAAATTCCTACGACCTACGTTTCGTTCGAAAATGATATTAGGAGGTGGCCTCCTATTTGGATACTAAACTCTGCTCGCTTGCGCTACGTACTGAGTGGGTAGGACACTTTGACATGAGTCAGTAGGATCTATCGAGAGAGGCAGGTGCCTAACATGGTGTGCCTGTCTGAACTTGGGTGAAATTGGTGACTCACCCTAGTCATACTTTATCGGTCGTTTTTTTATAAACTTAGTCAATTGGGCTAGTTGAGTAGTAAATTGAGAAAGTTGTTATCCAATTCCTTTAACTTCCTCACGTAACAAGTTGACTGATTGTTTAGTGTCGGTCATATCAATGGTGAAGGTCTCAAATTTTTGTTCTAGTGCAGTATGAGATTCTGAAAGCTCACGAAGGCTCATAGTGAATGTGATGTAAAATTTGGGCTAATGTAAAATGCCGACTACACTAAAAATTAAACCAAGTAATAAAAACTATAAATCAATGCAAATAGTCACAAACAAGAACAAGCTTATTGTGAAGAGACTCAAATAAACGTGAGACAAGCAACAATTGGTTTAACAAGGAATTAGGCAAGCAAAGTTATGAAGGTAGTGTATAGGGCAAACAAACAAAGAAAGTTTGGGTAAGAATTTTTATTTTTTTTGTTTTTTGACTTACCAACAAATATAAATACTATCACCAATTCTCAACGAAGAGAACTCGTACCTAGTGTTAGAAACAACTCCAAGAGGATACTTGACAATTTAGAGGATGATCTTATAAATTCTAAAACTTTTTGAGGTGTTTTTGTAATTTCTGAAACTTCTAGGGTAAATCTAATAAAATTGTGAGATAAATCAGGTTGTCTTCTCCTTCTTTATCGTGCCTGTAGGCATAACCCTAGTGTCAAGTTCAGCGACAGCAACAAGAAGAGAAGGACAACGGCGACGACGATGGCACCCAAACGATGATGGATCGATGACAAAGGAGCAAATGGCAGCGATGAAGTCGAACACAATGAGTGCTATGGAGGATGATTACGAATTTAATTCTTCTCTTTTTTTTTTCCCTACTGCACAGACCTGTAATGTCTAGATTTTATTTTTTTCACTGTTTATGGCGACGAATAGTGTGCGATGAATAGTGTGCATGATAAACAGTAAATCGAAGTTGGACTTTGAAACCAAATTAATGTAGACTAGGAAGTGAAATGATTAGAGATGAAAAGAGAAGAAGAGATGAAAAAAAAGAAAGAATTTGATAAGGAAGGAATGTCAATATTCAATAATAATCAAAGTCTGCCAAAATATAAATATTGTATCCCCTGTATATAGCTAAAATAAATAAATAGTCAAAATCACAACTAAGTCCCTGAAAAGTAAAATGACAAATAATTCATAATTCCTATTTCTGCACTTATTATAATAAAATATAATTCGATTCCTATCACAGAGAAATAGGGAGGGTTTTTTCTTTTTTTGCAGCAGCACAATTGATTTATTCACACTTGTTTCCTCGATATGATTACAGGAATGTGTATGCTCTTCTGTTAACTGTTTCATCTCCAAAAATATGTGGCCCAATCTACAGTGAGGTTGTGGGTCCTGAATATAAGAGTAGCCCAGTCCGTCAGGAATTTTCACCACTTGGTTGCTCCAATTTTATTTATTTTCTTTTCCTTCATTTTCTTAGCAACCAAGCATACATTCAAAAAATTCCAGAATAATATTGAGAGTGTAAAATATTGAATTTGATAAAAAAACTTTACAGGGGGGGGTTGTATAGGCTTCAGATGCAAAACAAGCAAGAATTGCAGTCAAGTGTATATCAATCAATATCTTTTTCTTAGCTTCTTTTTAAATGCAAAATAAACCATAAACATTTAAATTAAAAAAAACACTAATAATATCTCAAATTTTAATAACAGTCTAGCTTAAACATTTAAATTCAAACAAACACTAATAATATCCCACAATCAGCAGCATTAAAATCAAAAATCAGCTATTACAGCACTATCAGCTATTCAGAATCAGCAGCATTATAACATTACAACACTATAAGCATTATAGCATTAGAGCAAAAAATAAGCACTAGAAAAAAATCAGCAACATTAAATTTAGCATTCAGCATTATAGCACTATCAGCAAAATCAGCTATTCAGAATCAGTAGCATTAAAATCAAAAATCAGTAGCTATTCAAAAATCAATAGCATTAAAATCAGAATCATTGGTTAAAAATCAGAATCAAAATCATTAGAAAAATCAGAAGAAGAAGAGGAAGCAAAAAAAAAAAACAAGAAGAACGTAAAAGAAGAAGAACCAAAAAAAAAAAAACAGAAAGAAGAACCAGAAAAAAAAAAGAAGAAGAAGAAGAAGCAAAACAAAAAAAAAAAAAGAACCAGAAAGAAGAAGCAGAAAAAAAAAAGAAACAGTAGAAAGAATAAGAAGCAGAAAAAAAAAAAAAAAGAAGAAGCAGAAAAATAAGCAGAATCAAATGAGAATAAGAGATACAGAAGATAGAAGAAAAAAATGAGACAAACCTGGACCAGCGAGGAAGGAGAAGCAGCAACAGTCTTCGTCTTTGACCAATGAGCAATGAACAACACAGCAGCAGCGATCGCCTGACCAGAGAGGAAGGAGCATCAACACCGATCGTGAGAGGAAGGAGCAACATCAATCGTGAGAGGAAAGAGCAGCAACGATGGTCTGATGTTTAAAATTAGGGTTTGAGTTTTATATTTATGGGATAAGGGGTAATTGGGTGTATTGACATCTTATAATTTTTTTTTCAATTGCCCCAATCCAAATGTCCACAGTAAAAAATAAAACAATCCAATGGTTTACAATAAAAATAAAAAACTACTTCGCCTAGCATGACTAAAGCGTTCACTTTTTCGCCTTTCGCTTAAGAGAAAAATTCTTGCTTTTCTCGCTTTTTTTCGCTTCAGTCACGTTCGTTTCGCATGGGGTGTTCAAGGCGAGATACCTTCGCTTCGCTTCGCCTCACTTCTCGCCTAAGTGAGCTTTTCAAAACACTGTCCCGTATATATATAAGGAGATCACAAACCCTAAAATAAATAAATAGTCAAAATGACAACGAAGCCCCTGAAAAACAAAATGACAAATAACTCCTAATACCTATATTTGCGCTTACTATAATGAAATATAATCCGATTCCTATCACAGAGAGAGAGAGAGAGAGAGAGGGAGGGTTTTTTCTTTTTTGCAGCAGCACAATTGATTTATTCACACTTGCTTCCTCGATATGATTACAGGAATGTGTATGCTCTTCTGTCAACTGTTTCATCTCCAAAAAAATGTGGCCTAATTTGCAGTGACGTTGTGGGTCCTGAATATAAGAGTAGCCCAGTCCGACAGGAATTTTCACCACTTGGTTGCTCCAATTTTATTTATTTTCTTTCCCTTCATTTTCTCAGCAGCCAAGCATATATTCAAAAATTTCCAGAATAATATTGAGAGTGTAAAATATTGAATTTGATAAAAAACTTTATAGGTGAGGTTGTATAGGCTTCAGATGCAAAACAAGCAAGAATAGGAGTCAGATGTATATCAATCAATATCTTTTTCTTAGCTTCTTTTTCAGAGCTATGGTGCATTGTGCATGTCAATGTATTGGAGGGTGGGAATAATATATTTAACATTTTGATGGGGTGGGTGCACATTGGGATAGGATTAGTCACTAATGGTCATACAGCGAGGTCTGAATAGTAGTTCCATGCTATGGAGTTTAATGGGGGTGGAAATCGATGTGTAGGGGGGTGAGAATAGTCCCACCAATGCAAACAACTAAGCTGTATAAGATCATCAACAACCTCGAGGCTTTCCGTATTGGCAGGTGAGAGCTCTCCTGTGGACACAGTGATTAGCTATGATTTTCTGTTTTGATATTTTGCTTTGTTGTCTGTTGATTTTGTTTGAGGAGGCTGCTCCCAGCTATTTTGTGTCCGGTTTTTTTTTCCTTTGCGATTCTTTTGGATTTCATTCTCATGCAAAAGATTTTGAAAGCTCTTGGCACTGTCTTTTAAGTTCTTATTTTTCTCTTGGCACTATTGCAATGTAAAATGAAACTACATTGCTTTCCTCGCTCAAGGGTTAGTTTTCTAGCTTTGCTAATAAGTGAAAAATAAAGCTTACACTTACCCAAGAAAAAGAGAAAAAATAATTTTGCCTTAATAATTTTTGGATGTCTGGCTCCAAATTGTGGACTTGTAGTTCATCTAGTAAATACACCTGAATGAATGCAACAAATTTGTGGGCAAACAACGGAGTTTGCTAGCTACAATGTGAGAGGTGATCCATTAGATTTGATGCGTGTAATTTTAGCTTCATTGTTTTTGTGTGTATCAGCAGTTGACATTTTCAAATCAGGCTCATTTTTGTGGGCATTCCCAGCCTAGCACTACTTGAAGATTCTTTTTAGCATAAACTGTGTTTAAGTTGTACTTTGTCTCATGTTGGAGTTACAATTTTTCCCAATTTGAATCGATTTCATTCTTATTTGCATTATTGTCATCATACCAAAGTTGCATGAGAGAGAGTTTGAAAATGTATTCTTTTACGTGTATTTCATGTTCAAGTTACTCTCAATGAATATAGTCTTAATAGGGTTAAGTCTAATTGACTTAATCATTTTAATAATTGAATCGTACAAATACTTGAATGGCAGATATGCAAAATACCATTAATCAAATACATTAATCAACAAATACTTTCTAAATGAAATTCTAAATAATATGCAAAATACCATTAAAGTCATGATAATCTTATGACTGGAAATTGGATTGTTTGATGACAATTGGCAAAGGTTGAGTCGTGGACCCACAATGTTGAATGGCAGATATGTGAATAAGTAAAATTGGAAGGGTATTTAAGTCATTAAGACGGAGAGGTATTGTATATAAAATCCTAAAATTCCTCTAAACACTCCTTTCCATCGAAGGAAAAGGAAAAGGAAATGGAAATCCATCGGAAACCAAAGCATCCACCTCTGCAACAATGTCCGCTTGCGATCTTCCGCAAGACCTCATCTTCGAAATCCTCTCAAGACTCCCAGTCAAATCTCTCGTCCACCTCAAGTCCGTATCCAAGCCGTGGCTCGCCCTGATTAAGAACCCTAACTTCATCTCTCTCCACCTCAATCGCACCGCCATGAACCCAAATAACGACGCTGTAATCATCTACAGTCTCTCTCTAAGTCAACACCATATCATGTCTCTCTTGTATGTCAATTCCATTGACAACAAACCCATCAATCTCGACCACCCTTTGCCCCAAATCTTCCCCCGGATGGACTTGGTGGGTTCGTATAACGGCATAGTATGTCTCAGTTGCCCACCTAACGGTCGATTGATCACCCTATTGAACCCTGCAACGAGACAGTACAAGGTGATCCAACTGTCGAGCACAAGTTACAATTTAGATGATGTTTATAGTGTTTCTGTTGGCTTCGGATTCGACCCAGTTGCCAATGATTACAAAATCGTAGTAATTTTGCATATGAATCTGGAACTGCCAAGAGAGAAAATACGAGTGAAAGTTGAAGTGTACTCGGCGAAGAACGATTCCTGGAAAATGATTGAAGTTGAAACTCCGTTTTTCGTCAGCCGGACTAGGTGCAATGCGATTTTGAAGGGAAGTCCCTATTGGACCGGCTTTATTAGAGATGAGGAGGAAGTATCTGGAATTCGTGAGGTTTTTGTACTTTTCGACCCACAGAATGAGGTCTTTGGGCTATGTCCAGTGCCGGAATATCCAGAACAGGTCAGTTAACGATTCGTAGAGTTGAGGGATGGTATTGCTTTACTTTAGTATTCTGAAGACTGGAGCAATTGTGTTTGGATGAAGTTTACTTGCAACGAGGGTCCGGGTAGGAAGATTGGACCAATTCCGTTAAAGGTGGTGAGGCTAATTGCATGTTGCAAGAATGGAGAGATTTTAGCACAGGGCACTGAAGGAAAGTTGTTCCTGTATGATCCCAAAACTAATGGAGTTAAGGACATTCTCATTGATGAAGTTCGGGCGAATTCATATAAAGGTTGTAGCTACACAGAGAGTTTAGTTTCAATTGAGGGGATGAAACAAGTAGGACAGAAGGGATAGGTAATCGTTATGTATATTACCACTGTATGCGATTCTGAACCCTTTCTTCAATTCGTTAATGTTTTTTACTGGTGGGGAATTATGCTTTTGCTAGCTGTGTAGATTAGTGCTTAGCTTGGCATAGTTAGATAATTTAAGAATGTGTTTTTTTTTTATTGTAATCATTTTCAGATGCAGTGATCTGTTTTTTGCTATGACACGTTTATATTGTTGATAACTCTTATATGCTCAATGGAGGTTTCTATGTATTTCTGTTAATGTGGTGGAATTGTGATTTTAATTTCACCAGCTAAAAGCTCATTTGTAGTTTAGATTAGCAGGCAATATTATATTCTGCTGCGATGGAGCGTTGCAGGAATAGGTAGTTATGTGGATTAATTCCATCAAGGAATGCTGGATGTGATGATGTCAAAATTTTATTCATACCGTTATGCAGTTCCAAAATCTCTACTCTTGCAGACGTATACGCTCATATCCTTGCAGTAAAATAAAAAATGCTCCTGTCCTCCTAGCGTGGGGTTGAGCTCTGGTTTTTTGGTCAGCTGATGGGTTGGTGTGGGTGTTCTCATCTCAAGATTGTTCTAAAGTTGGACTTGATTCTGCTTGTGCTGTTAAATTGGGTCATTGTATGGCTTTTAGACCAAGCCTTATGTGTTTTGTTTAGTTTAGTGGTTTAAAAGTTCCTCTTCTATACCAAGTTCGTATATTGAAAAGGGGAGAGAGAGAGAGAGAGAGAGACTTGTCAAACTTCTGAAAAATTAATACAAACTTCAATCTTTTCTTTTATGAAGAAATACTGTTGAATTTGAATTACCAAATGCAATTTTTATTGTCTAGCTATGCACATGTCTAAGATACGCTACACCAAGATGAGTGTCGTAATCATATCCAAGATCAATAAACTCTGTCAAAGGCATATGACAAGTGTTAACTTTTTATGGGTGGGGCTCTTTGCACCCCAAAAATATCTATCTTCACTCCATCTAATGTAGAACTACTAAGCCTACACCATCTAGACACAGCAATAACAACAAATTAATCCCATTAAAATGCATCTTAAAACGAGACATGGTTTCTCAATATGATTACAGGGATGTGTATACTATGCTCTTCCGCCAACTATTCATCTCCAAAAGGTATGGGCTAATTAGAAGTGAGGTTGTCAGTTTTGAGTATAAGAGTAGCATAGTCCATCAGTAGATTTCAGTGAATAATGGCAATTTTTACCACTTGGTTGATGGAGTTTTTCGCTTGGGATATCTCACTCCACTTGCTTGCTGTCCGAGAAAACCGGCTTTTTTTCGTGGACATTGCTCACACATACACACATGTCCGTATATGCACCCCACGAACATTAGTGAAGGCCCTTAAAATCACTCCAATAGTCCAACAGTCGTGAGGTCTGTATCATGCTGTTTTCATGTAGCCGTAGAAAAGAAATCAACCCTAGGCTGATACTGTCCTTTTCACCTATTGGAAGGCACACAGCTTTCCCATACTAGTACCGGTACTCTCAAACGCCGAGGGCTTAGACTCCTGCCCTGCTCTGCTCCCCGCTTTGAGTAAGATCAGTCATCCCACTGGATTTATTTAATTTTCCTTCATTTTCTTAGCAACCAAACCAAGCATATATTAAAAAATTTCTAGAGTAATATTGAGAAAGCTAAATATTGAGTTAGATGATAAAACTTTACATGTGGGGTTGTATAGGCTTCAAATGCAAAACTAGTAAGAATAGGAGCCAGATTTATATTGATCAATCGATGCAACATCTTTCTTTTTTCTTTGCTTCTTTTTCAGATTCTATGATTCACTGTATACGATCTAGGTCCCCTCTAATATATTTTTTTTTTTCAATTTTTTTCATGGTGGATCATCTATCAGTAATAAGTGAAATATTTAAAAATTAATTTTTAATTTTAAAATATTTACAAAAATGCCATTGCATGACATTTCTCCCAAAGCAGCTACCTGGCTGCAGTAGGGAGCTCCCTCCCCATCCTTCTTTAAGCTTCCAAAAGTCTTGAGGAAGTGCTGAAGACTTCAGCCAAGGTCTTGGATCAGACAAAAATCGTTGGAGGAGAGAGAAAGAGATGAGAGAAGTTAGAGAAAGAGATGAGAGAAGCAAGAGAGAGAGAGAGAGAGAGAGAAAGTGTGAACATCAAATTTTCATAGGAGAAGATTCGAGCACTAAGAGGTATACTCCTAGACTAATCAGGATGTTAGGAACTCATTTATGCTATTAGCTTTCTATTTGGTCAACCATAGTAGCATGAATTTGTTGTTTAAAGTTTCGGGTCAAAAGGTTTCATAAAACGAGTATGTGTATTCAAAGGTTTTTTTCTTAATTGGTTGATTGGGTTGTGTTTCTAGGAGGTGAACGAGTTGTTTGGTAGTGGTGTAGTGTTTCGCTGTGGTGTGTGGTGGTAGAACGGTGGCGTAAGGGTTTGACGAAGTTGAAATTTGATTGTGATAAAAACTTGCTTAAACTTTGAAAGGGGACTTGAGTCTCTCTAATTTGGACCCAAGGAATCTGTTTCTGTCCTCAGAATTAGGTTCAAGGGTCATTTGGGGGGGTCAAATGTTCAGTTGCTAATTTGTAGGTTTGTAGGACAACAATTTAGGCTGTTGAATCGCTCAAAAAGCTTGAAAAATGATGTAGTTATGGGAGTTCAAAGTTGGTTTGTTGGCTGAAAATAAGGCTGGAATCAGTCTGTTTTTATAGCTCTAGAGCCTAACTTGACTCAATTTTGGAAAAACTGGAAGGGGTTGTGATGTAAACAAACAATTGAATGTCAAAATAGGTATGAAGTAGTATATTTTAGGCTTTTGAATCATGTAAAAATATGAAGAAATGAGAGAGAAAATGGTGCTCAAAGTTGACCAAAAACATGGAATATCATACTTGCTCAAAAGTTAATGGAAGAAGATGAAGTGGAGGAGAGGACCACTGTCCACCCCGATGGCGAGTGGGCGCATCCAAGGTCCAAATGACCTCTGGGCGTTTCAAAAGTTCCATAACGTTCGTGCGGTGGTCTTGACAAAATTTGAGGTCAATTCAATACCCAGATAAATAGATGATGTAAAATATTCGTTTTTCCCTCTGGGGTCAATTTAACCCAGTTTTTTGGTGCTTTTTGAAAAATAAATTTTATCTTCACTTTTAACTAGTTAAATTTAATATGTGTATGAAATTTCATTGAAAAATTACATCGTTTTATTATTGGCTATTTTAGATCAAAATACCGAGACTGGTAGGGTTTCTTAGTTCCAGAATAGGCGATGCTTTTCAAACTTATTTCTAAATTATTTCATATGTTATTGATGGTTCTTTAGCATGTTTTGAAATATATGATTGAGTGTTTTAAATATTGACTTGGATCCAGACTCGAACCCGAATTAGGGTTTCCAAGTGTAGTTCGCACTAATGTTGAAATGATCATATTGATTGTATTACTAGTACTATTTGGAATTCTGGGATCCTTTTAAATGATATATAAGTGCACACAAGTTTAAGTGACAGAGCATTTACGTTCCAAGTTGAGGTCGTGGAGGGTTTCTCATTGAATACGTAAATGCTTAGGTGACCCTGTTGGTCTTCAGACTTGGGTACTGAATTAAATCATATTGAATTGGGAGCATATTTTCTTTGGGGTGCAAGTCCCATAAATTATTGGATTGTATTGATCATGTTGACCCTTAAATACTACTGCTTTACATGAAATGAAATGACGTTTCTCTTAGATATGTATCAAATGTTTGTTTTGATGTTGCCCAATAATGCCAAACTATGCTATTTTCAAACTCATTTGTTTGAAAATTAAGTTACTCTACTGAGCTATTGATGCTCACACTACAATATTTCCTCTTTTTCAAATTAGCAAGTGACATAGAAGTTTGTGAAAGTTTAAACTGCTAGTTCTTAGGATTTTCATTCTAAGTGTTGAGTAATGTTATTGAGGCGCGTAATTAGTAATAAGCTTCACGTATGTATGTGGAATGTAATAAGTCTATGATTGAGTCATATCCTAGGAAGCACGAATACTCCTCAGGAGGTCGACGTGGCGGTGTCAGACACGTGTCTAATACTTCCACAAGTGTCCTGAATAGTGAAGAATTATTTGTTATGGACAGATACAGCTTGGACACGAGGTGATACAGAGGGATACGACCACAACCATGAATTTGGAACTAGAAAAAAAACAGGGGAAGAAGACGATGTACCTGATCAGCAACAACCACAACCACAGATCTCCTCTTCTTGTAGGTATGTGGTCTTCATCTTCAAGTCTCTCTCTCTCTTTCTCTCGCTCTCACACTGCCCGAGCTCTGCTATTTCGTCTAGCTTACCCTAGTTGCTGAAAAGCAATAAAGGGCGACCTTTTTCTTTTTATTTTTTTTTTGCTTGTCTTAATTTAAATTTCAGCCCCTATTATTTTCTTTTATTTTTTTCTTTGCCCTAGTTGCTAAAATAATTTACAAATAACCCTTGAAATTCTTATATTTTATGTTAAATTACAATCATACAATTATATTTTATGTTAATTTATGTTAAATTAAATTAGCCCACTGTCCATAACATATTAGCCCACTAATCAAATTTAATATTAGCTCATTTATCAAATTATAAAATATTAATTAATTACTCAATTTTATTATTAATGTTATTATATATATAAATATTATATTATTTTAATTAGCCGTATCTTTGTCGTACCTGTGTCCTATATTTTGAAATTTTTTCATATCCCCGTGTCCGTATCCATGCTTCCTAGGTCATATCATACCTGTGAATAGTACATTTATATGTTGAGGTTAATGGCAAACACTTGATATGTTTATCGAATTGGTATCACAATTTACTTATAATTTGAAGACTGTATTATTTAGTAATTATGAAGGCTATTAGCGCTCTGAATATTATTATGAAAATGGGTTGAGATGTTATAGTTTGATATCAAAGCTTAACCATTGTTTTAGCACTCTGTATATTATGTGAT